CCCCCCGGCCGCCCCCTCGCCGGCCCGGGAGCCCCCCCGCAGCCCCTGGCACAGCCCCGGGGGGTGCGGGGGCCCACGGGGCCGGTTCCCACCGCGGCGGCCGGGGCTGTACACGCAGGCACTGCGCGAGGCCGTGTCCCGCATCCGCCGGCACACGGCCCCCGACTCCGACTCCGAGGCAGAGGGGGGCCCGGGGGGGTCCCGGTGGCGGCACTGCCGGGACCCCCACCCCTACAGCAGCAGCAGCAGCAGCCTGGAGAGCACCGGGGCCCCCCCGGGCACCGCCAGCCCCCCTTGGGCCTGAGGGGCGGGGCTTGGCGGGGTGGGGCCCGACGGGGCGGGGCTTGGCGGGGTGTGGTGGGGCGGGGCTCGGGGTTGACCCCAATAAAGGCTGCGGGATCGGCATGCGCCGCCTTCACCCCCTGTGTGTGTGCACGGACGGGGGGGGGGGAGGCATCGTCCTCTCCAGGCGCCCCCCACGGCCCTGCTCCTGCCCCACACACCCCAGCTAGGCCAGAGCCCACCCGCCACGGTGCCGGGGTCACTCGAAGGCCCCGGGTGTCCCGGTGGCTCCGCAGCTGTCACCATGGGGCTGGGACGTGCCCTGTTCCTCCCCCCTCCGGCCTCCCCATAATGACTGGGTGAGTGCAGCACCTCTGGCCCACTGCCACCGGCCCCACGTCACGGCCGGAGGGGGGACCCCGGGTGAGTCACGGTCCCCCCCCCCGAGAGGCCGCCACCTCTTAGTCACGCTGCGGGGGGGCCGAGCCCCGCGGCCAGAGGAAACCGCACAAATAACGTGGCCAATTTGCACGTTATTTAAAACCGGCTCCTCCCCCGCCCCCCCGACGCGACCCTGTCATTATCCCGGTGACACCGGCCCGGAGGTCACGGCGTGGGGCAGCGGCGACCCGGGGGGGCCCGCTCGTGGGGCAGCCCCGCGGCCACGTCACCCCACGCATCCTGGCACCGCACCGGGCCCTGAGCTGTGCCGGTGACCTGAGCCCAATGCGGCCGCGGCCTGGCAGGGCTTGATGCGGTTCGGTATGGCCCTGCCCGGCACGGCACGGCCTTGGCACTGCTTGGCACAGCTCAGCGCAGCTGCATGACCAAGCTCGGCTCGGCACATCCTGGTATGGGCGGCTCAGCTCAGCCCGGCTCAGCACAGCACAGGGCAGCGCAGCGCGGCTCGGGGCATCCCGGCTCGGAGCATCCCGGCTCGGGGCATCCCGGCTCGGAGCATCCCGGCTCGGGGCATCCCGGCTCGGGGCATCCCGGCTCGGAGCATCCCGGCTCGGGGCATCCCGGCTCGGAGCATCCCGGCTCGGCCCGGGCGTGCTGCCCGCCCTGGCCCGGGGTGTCCCAGACGCGGGGGAAGCGGCGCGGCCCTTTCCGTGGCTCCGCTCCTGCCCAAACCCCCACCGCGAAAATCACCTTCTAATTCGGGCTGCGCCGGCGCCAGCGCCGCCCCCCGGGGCCACCCCGGGCTCCCCCCGGCTCTCGCCGCTCCCCTCTGCCCGCGGGGGTGCCCACGGGTGGCACCGGGAGCGACCCGTCCGGTACCGGAGTCCCCGCACCGGGCCGCGGTACCGCCCGTAGCCGCCAGATGTCGCAGCGCAGCCGGAGACCGACGGCACCGGGAGCGCCGGGGGGCACCGAGGGTCCGGCCCCGGGAGCGGGGACCCTGCCACAGGGACCGGAATGGCCACTCTGGTGTCGGTGTCCCCAGAGGGCCGTGACCCGCGTGTGTCAGCGGTGCCGGTGTCCCCAGAGCCGTGTGGACACGAGTGTACCATAGAGCAGCAGCCGTGCCTGTACCGGTGTCCCCGTAACCCCATAACCCCCGTGTGTCACCATCACGGGCCACAGCGTGACCCGCATGTGCCGGCACCCACTGATGGCTCCTCCGTGCGTGTGGTGCCGGCCACACCGTGGCCATGCCACATCCCTCCTGAAGCACATCCCACCGTGCCAAGCGCCAGCCCCGGCCCTGCCGCGCTGCCGGTGCCGGCTGTGCCCGGTGGGAAGGGAAGGGAAGAGAAGGGAAGGGAAGGGGGGTGCGGTGAATGCCGCATTGTGGTGGGGTTGGAGTCACAGATAATTACCTCAATTAGTTACAATGGCAGAGTAATAAATACGGGCTTAGCGGCTCCTTCCCCACTGCGGCTTCTCAGATTAATCCAGCCCGGGCGAGCGGAGCTCAAAGGGATGATGGACAATTCATTAAACTCGCACAAGGCACCCGTGAAGTCCGGCGTTAGCCCCCGGCGGCTCCGGCTTTGTCCCTAATTGTTCGTCTCGGGCATTGGTCACCTATGAGGGAGTGGGTGACGGCGACGGTCCCCCCGCGGCTGGCATGCCCCGGGGATTAGAGGCCAGCCCTTGCCACCGTTGCTGGGCGCCTTGGCCCCGCGCCGGAGGAATGCGGTGGACGGGGAGGGGGGATGCGGCCGGACAAGCCGGGAGCTGGCGGGATGCGGGCGAGGGGAGCCGGGATGGGGCTCGGTTCAATGGCGATGGGATGCGGATGGACCCGGTGGTGGGATGATGCCACCGGGCAGTCGGCGCGGTTGGGAATGGCTCTGTCTCTGTCCTGCACCTATGGAAACAGCCCTGTGTCTTCTGTCCTGCACCTTTGGGCATGGCCCTGTCCTTCTGCCCTGAACCTCTGGGCACTGTCCTGAACCTCTGTCCTGCACCTTTGGGCATGGTCCTATCCTGTCCTGAATCTCGGGGCACTCTCCTGTCTCTCTGTCCTGCACCTTTGGGCATGGCTCTGTCCTTCTGTGCTGCACCACTTGGAATGACACTGTCCCTTTGTCTTGCCCCCTTGGGCAGTGTCCAACCCATCTGCCCTGCACCCCTGTGTGCCACCCTTCCCTTCTGTCCTGAACCTGAGGGCACCATCCCATCTGTGATGCACCTCTGGGAACGGCACCTTCCCTCTGTCCCGCATCCCTGCACAGACCCCCCCATGCCCCAGCCCTTCCCACCCCACATCAGGCCCAGCTTGTGGCCACCATCCAGCTGTTCCCCGGCTTCCCAGATGTGACGGGCTGACGCGGGGCGGGACCGCCCTGGCCCTGGCCCTGGCCCTGCTGCGGCAGCGGCTATTTCCAGCGCGGGGTGGATGTGTCCGCGCCGGGGAGGTCCGGACCCTGCAGCCGGGTGCCCCCCCCCCCCCCCCATGCCCGGGGCACCCCAGGCCGGGGGTCGCTGCGGTGCCCGGCGGTCACCGGCCCGCAGGAAAAGCTGAGTAACAGAGGTGACTTATAAGAATGTCATTATCTATATTCCTGACTGCCCACCGCAGGAAAACAGGCTATTTTCATGCCCTGTGCGTGTGCAGAATTTAGCAGGCAGATAACTCCCGGCAGGCGGGAGATGCTCCCAGGGTTATTTCGGGATGTGTTCCTTTCCAGTCGCTTTTCCTCGCAGTTCTTTTCTGCTCTTTCACCGCGCCAGGCTGTGTTTGTGCCTCGGCGTGGACAGTGGGGGCCCCCGGGGGTTATTTTCCCCCCTCCTTTGGGTCTAAACCATCAACTTTTCCACTATCGGCTCCGGGGGATATTTCGGGTGGTGGCAGCGTCATTCCTCAGCCTTTGATGCCGCCCCAGCTCTGGGGCTGCAGGGACCCCCCCACTGCAGGTGGGCACTGGGGCATCCCTGGGGCTGGATGTCACCGTGGCCCCGGGCTGGATGTGGGGAGGGAGGTTACAGCCTGGTCCAAGGTGTGGAGTTAGGGGGCAGAGGGTCTGTGTGAGCCCTGCACCTGCCCCAGGGGATGCCAACCCCGATGGGATACCCATCCCAGTGGGAATGTTGTCTCGCAGGAATGCCCTTCCCAGGGATGCCCATTCTATGCCCAGCACTGTGGGATGCTTATCCCAAGGGAAAATCCATCCCAGGTAAATGCACATTTCAGTGGGATACTCACTCCGGTGCGATACCCACCCCAATGGGATACCCATCCTAGTGGGATCCCCATCACAGGGGGATTCCCTTCCCAGTGGGATGCCTGTCACAGGGAGGAGCCCATCCCGGTGGGATGCTCATGCCACCAGGGCACCTGCCAGCGCGGAGCTGCACCCACCTTTGCCACGGCCTTTCTCGGGCTGCAGCCAGACCCCACGCACGATTGTGGGGCTGCGTGTGGGGCCAGTGGCCGGTCCCGGCCCCCTGGCCCCGGCCCCCATAACCCCGCTGCCCTCCCGGCCCCCCTCCTCCCCCGGAGCCGAGGGGAGCCGTCAGCGCCGGCCGGGAGCGGTGATGGACGAGGCTCATTCCCTGTCTGCTGCCTTGTACCTCCCGTGGCCGATCCCAGCGCCCGGCCCTGGCGGCACCAGCCCCGACGCCCCGGCAAATTCCAGTGCTGGAGATACCGCAGCCCAGGAGCCATGGTGATGGGCGCCCCGGCCATGGGGACGGACGCTCCGGTCGGGAGCGGCGGCGGCGATGCCTGGGGCTGGAGACGGGCACAGCGGGAGGAAGAAGGGGATGGGGATGACGGAGAGGAGGAGAGGGGTGGGCAGCCAGTGGATGCAGAAGTGATGAATGGACAGAGGGGCTGGACGCGTGCTGTAGGGGGCTTGTGTCCAGCCCCATAGCTTGGGGGACAGGGGAACATTGCTCATTCCCTCCCTTCCTCAGCCCCCCCAGAATGAACCAGCACAGGACTGATAAAAATATATCCTTTATTCTTCTCTAAAGGCTATCAGTGAAACCTGGAACAAAGCATTATTATTATTAATTATTATTATTAATTATTATTATTATCTTTTATTACAAAAAACAAGGCCTGGGGCCAGCAAAGTTGGGGGGGGGCGGCATCAAACCATCCACAATAAATATTGTATTTACAGTAAGAAGGGGACGGGGGTGGCCGGGACGGTGCGTGCCTGCACCGAGCCCCCCCCAGCCCAGCTGCTGGCCCCAGGGTGGGCCAGGCCAGGCCAGGCCGCAGTGGGTCACAGAGGCACCCATGGGTGCCTTCAATCCCACCAGACACTAGTCATTGGGGGTGGCACAGACCCCCTCCAGGGCCGGTGCAGGGGGGTCCCGGTGGGGGGGGGGTTCACAAGCACTCGTGCAGCACCTGCGTGTTGGTGCAGTTGAGGCAGCTGACGTGGCAGCACCAGTGGAAGGTGCAGTTGCAGCGCTCGGTGACGCGCTGGGTGCGTGTGCGGTACCCGCGCCCGCAGCACAGCAGCTCGCACCCATCCAGCCCCGGCGAGGAGCTGTTGCAGAACCTCCCGGCCGTCCCCGCCGTCCCCATCTTCCCGCTGTAGGTGCAGAAATTGGGCGACTTCTCGAAGTAGACGAGGTCGTGGGGCGAGGGGGGTTTGTGGGCCGGGTTCTCAGGCTCCAGGTGATGCAGCTCCACGCGCGAGGCCCGGTTGCTGCCCTTGTTGCCGTAGATGACGCGGGAAGCCCCGTCGAAGCGGTCCTTCAGGACATCGCCCACGGCGCGGAAGGTCGGCAGCCGCATCCAGCACGTGCGCACGGTGCAGGAGCCCGACATGCCGTGGCACTTGCACTCCTGGCGCATCTCGGAGAACACCGTCTGCAAGAGGAAGGGGGGGGCATGGGGCACTGCGAGCTCCAGCATCCCCGCTGCCCATCAGCACCGCGTCGTGCTCAGCCTGCCCAAAGCCAAGTGGGAAACCCCACTCTAACGGTTCCCAGTGTGTGCATGGGGACACTCTAGGGGCCTCGGTGGCCGTGCCTCCCCCCCCCGGTGCCGCCCGCAGCCCCCCTGTGCCCTCACCATGCGCCCAGCCTCGTTGTTGTGCAGGTTCATGAGGAATCGCAGGTCTCGGCCCTTCTCACTGGAGTCCACAAACTCCCTCCCGAAGAGGCGCCCGAAGTCGATGTTGTCGCTGCAGCCCCCCCAGTGCCAGTCGGGGCCCCCGGGGCCGCGGCGCCGGTAGTCACAAGTGCAGGACTCGATGGAACCCTCGGAGCAGGACCGTGCCACCGAGTGCGTGACACCGGCGCTGGTGATGGCGAAGATGAACGCGGTCTCCCGGCAGCCTGCGGACGAAAGCAGGGCCTCAGGGTGCTGTTGGGATGAAGAGGGGGCACCCAGCGGCACCCCCCAACCCGCAGCCACAACGGGATGCTGATGGGCTGGGAGCTGGCGATGCCCCGTGGTGACCGGAGGGCGCTTTGCAGAGCATCCCGGCTCTGGGGCGCCGGAGGGGGGGGGGGGGGTCCGGGCAGCCCCACGCCGCCTCCCGCCGCCCCGTGGCCTCACCCCGGTTAACGATCTTGCCGAAGATGTTGGGGCCCTGCGAGGTGGGGCAGTTCCAGCGGCGGTTGCGGAACTGCCACTTGCACTCCTTGATGGCGGTCTGGAGGCCGGAGCTGACGCTGTGCAGGATGCCGGGGTTCTGGCGGATCAGCTTGCGCTGCTTGCGGCTCAGCAGCTGCAGGCTGGGGTCCAGCACCAGCTGCACGTTCTTGGAGTCCGTCAGCAGGTTGGTGGACGAGGCCACGTTGATGATGCCCCTGCGGCACAGGAGGGGACGGTGAGCACCGGCATCCCGCTCCCCGCCTCAGCCCTCCCCTCTGATCCGCTACCAGAGCATCCTCCACCCCGCAGCCGCTGGTCACAGCCCCGATGGTACCCCCCGGTCGCACCTGCACGCCCCATCCTTGGCTACGGGGCAGCCGCCGCCGTGCCGGTGCCAAGCCCCGCTCCGCCCCCTGCTCCGGTGCCGGTGCTGCTGCCGGTACCGGCGGACTCACCACCACCGCCCGCTGTTGTTCACCGCCAGCGTGTTGGAGAGGGAGGAGAGGGCCAGCGCCCAGAGCGCCCGGAGCGCCAGCCCCAGCGCGGCGGCTTTCATGGCTCCGGCACCGGGAGACCCGGCAGAGTGCGCGGGCGAGCGGCCGCCGGGGTATTTATGGTGCCGCGGAGCCCCCGGCCCGGCCGCTACATCCACGCGTGTTTCCGGACGCGCGGGGCGCGGGGAGGGTGGGCGGCTCCGCTGCGGGCGGGTGAAGGGGGACGCGGGGAGCGCTGGCACCGGCACCGGGCTGCAGCCGGTGCCCGGGGCGCGGCGTCGGGGCTGCGGGGCCCGGAGCTCCCTGCCCGGTCCCTGGAGCGCAGCGTCGGGGGGTTCCGTGCGCGGTGCCCGCTGCCCGGTATCGGTGCCGGGCGGCCCGTGCGCGGTGCCCGGCGGCTCCCCGGGGAGACGGCGCGACTGGACTCGGCTCGGCGCGGCGGGTGCGCAGCGCTCAGCACCCGGGAGCATCTTCCAGCCCCTTCCCTCTTATAGGGGCGGCGCGGAGGGTCCCCGTGGGCCGGTCCCGCCGAACGGGGCCTCCCCGTGTCCTCGCCCTAACAATGGGGAGCGGCGGGGCCGCGGCACCTCTTATGGGGCTGCCGGAGCGGCGGCGCCGGGCCTGTCCGTCACGGCCCGGATTAGCCCGGCGGGTGGCTGAGCCCCGGGCCCGTGCCCAGAGCGCGGCCGGTGGGGCGGGGAGGGGGACACCCGGCTGCCGCCCCCCGCCCTCCCCGCGCACCGGCACCGGCGAGGGGAGCCAGGGACAGGTCCCGGCGCAGGGAGGAGCAGGACCCGGAATAGCCCAGGACGGGCCTGGACAGCGCCGGGCGCACGGAGGAAGCGGGGGCCGGGGATAGCCCGGGATCCCCCGAGGCAGCCCGGGGCGCACGGGGGAGTGGAGCGCGGGGATCTCCCGGGATAGCCCCGGGCACAGGGGGAGGCAGAGGCTCGGCACAACCCGGGGGCGCCGCGCCGGGACAGCCGGGTTCGGGGTGCGGGGACCGGACACGCAATCCCGGGGAGCGGGACCGTCGGGGCTGCGCCGAGCGCTGGTGCCGGTCCCGACCCCCCGGATCCCTCTCCCCTCCCGGTCCGTGCCCGGCGCTGAGGGGCGGCCCGAGCCGGTTGTGAACGGGGCCCGACGGCCCGTTTTGAGCACCGGGCCCCCGTGAACGGGGCCGTGGGCACCCGCAGCAGGTGCAGCCCCGTGCCCCGGGGCACCGGGCGGGTGTCGGGGGAAGGGACGAGGGGATGGAGCGGGACGGAGATGGGGGACCCGGACCCCGCATGCCCGCAAGTCTCAGTGGGGATGAAGCCGCTGCCCGCCCGGGTGCGGACTGCCCGGTGCGGGGCCGGAGGGGTGAGGGGGGGGGGCTGCGTTGATCCCCCCCTCCCGTCTTGGCGGAGTGCGGGTGGGGTAATTCCCCCGCAGCGGTTTCCTCGGACCAGTCATGCGGGGCCGGATTAGCCCCGCTCGCCCGTCACGGCCCGGGGCCGCCGCTCTCCATTTCAATTCAAGGGCGGACAAAGCCCAGGCTGGCAGCGCGGGGGGGGGGGGGGTCTAGCACCGGGACCCCCCCCCCCCCACCCCTCCTCCTGCCCGGGGTGTGCTCCAGGCCGGCGGCTCCTGCACCCCCCCCGCCCCGGTTCCCGGCCGGGCCGGGCCGTGTCCGCGCCCTCGGGCCGCCGCCCCGTCGGGGCTCCCGGGGCTGAGGTCAGCGGCCGCGGGGAGGCCCCGGGGCGCGGCAGGGAGGGCCCTGCCCGGGGCCGTGCCACCAGCGGCGGGGCCCAAACACCCCCGCTCCATCCCGGGACCCTCCCGGGGTCCCCGCGCCCCTGCTTCCCCCGTCCCGTCCGGCGGCGGCCCCAGGACAGAGGGGGCGATGCTGGGGACCCCCTCCCCTCAGCCCCGGGGTGTCCGCGGGAGAGCGCAGCGGCTCCTGCAGCCGTGGGGGCGGGCGGCGCTGCCGGTGCCAGTCCTGGACGGGGAGGGAGGGGCGGGGGGCACGGGTCCCTTCCCGCAGCACCGGACACGGGACGGACGGAGACCGGGAGAGCCCCGCGCCCGCTGACAGCCCCCCCCCGGGCCCCTGAACACCGGGGAGGTCTCAGTACAGCCGGTACCGGGTCCCCGTGGGGGGCGCATCCCTGTCCCACCAGTGCTGGTTTTGGGGTCCCCGGGGCACCCCGCTCTCCACGTAGCTCCCTCCCCCCGGGCTCTGTCCCCCGGTGCCCATAGAGGGGTCTGGTCTCACGGGGACTTCCCCTCCCGGTGCATCCCCCCCCCCCGCACTGCTGCAGCCGCTGCCATGGTAACGGCTCGCGGCTCTCGCGAGCTCCGCGCCCCCCCCTTTCCCCGCGAGCCCCCCCGGGCCCGGTACGGGGCGGGGGGGGCGGGAAGCGGAGGGCGGGGGGGAGAGGAGGAGTAAGGGGGGGGGGGCCACCGGGAGCTCTCGCGAGATCGGCGCGATCGGGCCTCCGCTTCCGGCGGCGGGAGCGGTGCAGAGTCAGCTGCGGGCGGGGGGAGCCACCGGTACCGGCACCGGCACCAGGTTTGGGGGGGGGGGGGGGACGGCGGCACCGGGGGGGGCTCGACACGGCGCGGGTGAGAGGGGGATGCGGCGGGGTTTGGGGGTGCGGACCCCCGGGGGGGTGCGGGCATCGCTCCGGGGGTGATGCGGGGCCGCAGCGGGGGGTGATGCGGGGAGGGGGAGCGGTTGGGGGGGGCGGTGCGAGCCAATGGGGTGCGTTGGAGGGGCGCAGTTGAGCGGGGGGGGGGTGATGCGGTCGAGGGGAGCAACGGGGGCGGCAGCAGCTCAGGGGCGGGAGGGCCTCGCTGCGGAGCGGGGGGGCTGCAGCGCGGGGGGGGGGGGTTTCGAGATTTGGGGGAGGTGCGGTTGTGACCCCCCCCCGAAGTGCTGGGTCCGTGCCTCAGTTTCCTCCAGTGCAGCCTTGGCCTGGCCCCTGGAGGTGCAGCGTGGGGGGGGGCACCCCCAGCACGGCCTCTTCATGTGGGGGGCAGCCCCATGGCCGCAGGGTTCTGTCCCACACAGGGGTGTCCCCGATGCCTGCACCCCCACCCCGTCCCGTGTTTTGAGGGTCTCCCCCCAATCCCAGCCCTGTGCCCCCGCAGGATCCGGCCTCGCCTGCGGACGGAGCCAGCGCCGCCGTCACCATGGGCAACATCTTCGGGAACCTGCTGAAGAGCCTCATTGGGAAGAAGGAGATGCGGATCCTGATGGTGGGGCTGGACGCCGCTGGGAAGACCACCATCCTCTATAAGCTGAAGCTGGGGGAGATCGTCACCACCATCCCCACCATAGGTGAGCAATGCCAGGGGTTGGGGGGGGCACCGGGCACGGACCCCTCCCCATCAGGGCTCCTTGGGATGGGGTTCGCGGCCCCCGCATGCCTCAGTTTCCCTCCGCTGTTGCTCCTCGCAGGGTTCAACGTGGAGACGGTGGAGTACAAGAACATCAGCTTCACCGTGTGGGATGTGGGTGGGCAGGACAAGATCCGGCCCCTCTGGAGGCATTACTTCCAAAACACCCAGGGTAAGTGCCCTGCATGGACACGGACTGGGGGGACAGGGTCACCGGGAACGGAGGGGGGACTGTGGGGCCGAGGGTCCTGCGCCCCCAGCAGCACCCGGTCGCCATCCCCAGGGCTCATCTTCGTGGTGGACAGCAATGACCGGGAGCGGGTGAACGAGGCGCGGGAGGAGCTCATGCGGATGCTGGCGGAGGATGAGCTGCGGGACGCTGTCCTCCTCGTCTTCGCCAACAAGCAGGTGGGGCCGGGACCATCCCCGGGGTGTCAGGGCCGGTGCCTGGGGGCCTGTGCCCATCCCCGGGGTGTCGGGGCCGGTGTCTGGGTCCCCGTGGCAGCCCCATTTCTCCCCTCAGGACCTGCCGAATGCCATGAACGCGGCGGAGATCACGGACAAGCTGGGGCTGCACTCCCTGCGCCACCGTAACTGGTACATCCAGGCCACCTGCGCCACCAGCGGGGACGGGCTCTACGAGGGCCTCGACTGGCTCGCCAACCAGCTCAAGAACAAGAAGTGAGCGGGCGGGCGGCTGCCGGCCCCCCGCCGTGTCCCCGGGGCCACCCCCCCGGACTCCCCCATCCCCACCCCGGTTGGGTTTTGCTTTCTCTTCTGGCACCGGTTGCTGTGGGGGTCTTTTTCCGCCTTGTTTTGGGGTCTCCCCTCGGATCTCGTGTGTGCGTGTGTGGAAATACAGCTCTATGGAACGTACCTGGGGGGGGGACACGGGGGCTGGGTGCCCGGGGGGGGTCACGCTGGGGTACCCCATCCCCGTGCATGTCCCCTCCCCTTCCTCTGGACCAAATGTGGGGGCTGCGGGGCCGCAGGGGGCATTTGGGACCATACACCCCCCACCCCTCCCCAGCCCCACATTCCCCTCCCCCCCCGGGGGTCCCACATGTCCCCGGCCCCCCCCATGTCACTTCGAGGCAGGTCTCCTCCCCTGCACCCCATCCCTGTTCCAGCATCGTGATTGTATGTCCCAGCCCCTCACGGACAGACGGATGGACGGCCCCATTCTGTACCCCCCCCCCAGCACCATATTTATACCCCCGGTCTGTGCTTGGTGTGACGTGTTGCTGCGGCTCTGCCCCGTCCAGGGACGTGTGTACCCCCCTCCCGGCCCCCCCTCCCTGCGCCTGAGACGGTGGGTGACCCCCGGCCCCCCCCTTGGATATTAAACATGTTTTATGTAGGGCTGCCCCATGGCTCTTCTTCCACAGCCCCCCCAAGCGCGGGGTCCGGGGAGGGGACGGTGATGGACAGCCCCGGGTTGGGTTTAATTAGAAAGAGCTTAACGGGGCAAGGGGAGGCTTGGGGGGGGGGGGGAACTCCCCTTTCCCAGGCTCATCCTTAGGGGAATATTGGATGAAATGGTAAATCCCATTAGTGCTAATCCCAACCGGGGCGTGGGGATGGTGCCAGCGCCGGCATAGCCGCGAGTGGGGCTCAGCCCCCCATGTCAGCCCCTAAGCAGGGCACCGGAGCTGCTGTCCCCATCCCTGTATCCCCTTTGGGTTGGTGCTGGTGCCACCGCATTGGGGGCTCCCCCTGCAGGGGGGGGGGGAGCCGGGGTTCCCCGGGAGCCGCGGAGCCGGTTCCCACCGGTGGCTTTGTGTGGCGGGGGCCGGCGCGGCGCTGACCCGGCGGCCGTAATCCCATTAATGCCCCGTCCCCCGCCGCCAGCGCGGTTTCGCCACCTCTCGGCAACCGGGGCTGGTATGTGCGGGCGCCGGTGGGGCCGGCGTGCCGATGCCGTCGTCCGGGAGCTGCGCCGGGGCCTGCGACGGCAACGGGGCCGCTGTCACCGGCGTAGGGCGGGGGAACGGGGCTGCCCCGTGTTCCCCAGGGCTCTGCAGTGACCCCAGGGGCAGGGGTTTGGGGATCCCCCTCCGTGCAGGGCCCGCTGCGGGGCTCAGCTTCCCCTGTCCCGCAGGGAAGGGTGCTGGGTGCGGGACGAGGGGCGCTTCGCACCCATGGGAGCCGGGTCCTGCTCGGTGCCGATTTCTCCGCGCTCTGCTGCCGCCTGCTGGTACCGGTCCCGCTGCCGGTGCCCTAGGACGAGCCCCCCGCCCGGCTCAGCGGGGACCACCGGGGCAGTCACCGGCCAGGGACCGGTGCTCGGTGGCAGCCCGGGATGGGCGGCACCGGAGCACGGGCGGACGCGTGTCCCGGACACCGGAGGGGGGAACCACCCGCTCCGGCCCCACCGGGGCTCGTTGCGGACCGGTCCCGGTGCCGGGGGGCGGTCCCGGGGGAGAGGCGGGGCCCGGGGTGAGCACGGGGCAGGACGGGGCGGTCCCGGTGCCGCCGCCGCCAGCCCGGCCATGCCGTCCCCCGCCGCGCTGCTGCTGCTGCTGCTGGTGCTGCTGCTGCCGCCGCCCGCCCGCGTCGCCGAGAGCGAAACCGAAACCGGGGCCCGGGACCTGCGGCTGGAGACGCTCGTGAGCCCCGGGGGAACCGGGAGGGGAGCGCGGGAACCGGGGCTGCGCGGGGAGCACCGGGCACCGGGCACCCCCAGCGGCGCCCTCGGGCGGGACCGGAGAGGGGGGGACCCCGGCGGTGCGGAGGGGAACGGGAGCAGCGGAGGGACGGGGCTACGCGGGGAGTACCGGGGCGGGGAGTGCGGCTCACGGGGCGCCCGGGGGGCACGGAGCGGGGTCCGCGCACCCCGAGGTTGGGGTGACCCCGTCCCGGTCCCCCGTGGCCCCTTCCCGTTGCAGGTGCCCCCCCCCGAGGGCTGCACGGAGCTGTCGGCGCCGGGGGACACGGTGCACATCCACTACACGGTGCGCGGCGGCAGGAACACGTCAGCACAGCGCTGCGCCGGGCGGGGCGGCTCCGGCACCGGCACCGGGGGGGGCATGGGGGAGGTACCGGGGAGATACCGGGGAGGTTCAGGAGCAGTCGTGAGGATGGCAAGGGGCTGGCACTAGGACGGGCATGCGGGTGGCACTGGGACGGGCATGCGGGTGGCACTGGGATGGGCATGCGGGTGGCACTGGGATGGGCATGCTGGTGGCACTGGGACGGGCATGCGGGTGGCACTTGGCACCTGGCACTGGGAGCAGCGTGGGGAGTTCCCCAGGGTGGCACCGGGGTGGGCATGGGGATGGCACTAGGATCTGCATTGTCCTGCGGAGGACAATGGGAACTGCCTGGAGCGGCAGTGGGGCAACCTCGGTACCTGTGTGGGGTAGAGCCAGGCCGGGAGCCGGTGCCAGAGCCGGTGATGGTGCCGGTGTCCCCGCAGGGCAGCCTGGAGGACGATGGCCGCATCATTGACACCTCATTGAGCCGGGACCCGCTCCAGGTGGAGCTGGGCAAGCGCCAGGTCATCCCCGGTGAGCACAGGGGGTCCCGAGGGATGTCACTGCCTGAGCCCAATGGGCTTTGGGATGCCCCCGGCCACCCCTGCTCACTCCTTTACTCCCCAATTCCTCACAGGCCTGGAGCAGAGTCTGCTGGATATGTGTGTGGGGTAAGCGGGGAAAGGGGCACAGGGGGGTGTCCCCAGGGCTACTTAGGGTGTGGGTCCAGCCCCACAGGGCACCAACAGTGTTTCACCACGGCAGGGAGAAGCGGAGAGTCATCATCCCCCCTCACCTGGCCTACGGCAAGCGGGGGTCCCCCCCCTCCATCCCAGGTGAGTGCAGCCCCTTGGGGCCCCCGGGGGGTCTCCGCCAGCCCCACTGAGGCTCTGTCCCCCCATTGCAGGGGACGCGGTGCTGCGGTTCGAGGTGGAGCTGGTGGCTCTGTCCCGTGCTGGTTACTGGCAGAAGGTGCTCAACAAGGTGGTGCCGCTGCTGTGCTTGGGGCTGGTGCCAGCGCTGCTGGGGCTCATCGGGTGCCACCTCTACCACAAGGCCAGCAGCACCAGGCTCTCCAAGAAGAAGATGAAGGAGGAGAAGAAGAACAAAGCCAAAAGGAAATAAAGCCTTTCCCTGAGCATCTGTGGCTGCTCCATGACTGCATGCAGCTCTGGGCTGCAGACACCTTGAACACAAATGAGAAGTGACAGACCCACACCAAAGCTCAGCTTGTTCCAGAAATAAGACCCCGGAACACAGTTTTGGGTGCAATTTAGCTCCTTTATGGCACCTCCAGGCTGTCCCAGTCGCTGCAGTGGCCGGGGCTGCACTGGGGGGTCTCAGGCGGTGCTGGTGGAGCCATGGATGGGCTGCAGTCGGGTCTTGGGGTGCGCAGCGCAGTCACCGCCGGTGTGGGGCAGGGCCCTGGGGATGCAGCTCTTGTGCTTGACTGCGAGGAGCGGGTTGGGCTCGCTCAGCACCTCCTGCGGGAGGGAGATCCCGGCCAGGTACTGCCGGAGCAGGTCCCGCAGGCGCCGGTTCCTGCGGCTCAGCGCCGCCCTCTGCCGCTCCAGCGCCTGCTCCTCCAGCTTCGCCTTGTTGAAGCGCTGCCAGAAGCGCTCCAGCCCCACGTAGTCCTGTACGGCCTGGGCGAGAGGCAGGGTAGGGGGTCCCCAGCCTGGCCATGGGTCGTTCCCGAGCCCAGATCCCGCCCCGAGCCCCACGGGGGCTTCAGCTCCTCACCCAGGCCAGCGGCTCCACCGGTGTCTCCTGGAGGACTTGCCGGGCATCTTCCTCCTCCTCCTCCTCCAGCGAGGACGGGTAAAAGGGCAGCACCTTCTCCTCCTCCGTCTCCATCCTGCGGCACATCTCGGCCAGGCGCAGGATGCGCTGGGCCTGGGGGGATGCAGGAGAGGGCAGGGAGGGCTGGGAAGGTGGAATTCCCACCCCGAGGGGCTCCCAGCACCTCTCACCTTCTCCATCACCCGGGCCAGTGCCTTGAGGGCAGCACCGCTCTGCAGGGTGAGCCTGAGGAGGCTGTCGTGGGCATCAGCACCCATCCGGTTCATCTCAGTCCTGAGCTCCCGGAGCTGCCCGAGGACCTTCCCCTTCTCCTCCTGCATGCGCCGGGTCTGCTCCTCACTCTCCTGGAGAAGAGCCACGAGTCGGCTCCTGACGGCTGCGATCGAGCCCTGGGGACAGTGGGGATGAGAGGGATGGGGCCATGAGGATAGGGACGGGGTCCCCAGAGCCCCCACTTCCACCCCTGCACCCCGCGGCAACCTGCAGCTTCTGCAGCTTCTTCGCCTGCGTCTCTACCTCCCTGGAGCTCTTCTCATCCTTCTGCTTGAGCGCCTCGAAAGCCACCCTCTGCCCCTCGGTGGCCTCGGCATAGCCCTGCAGGGCGCTTTGCACTTGCTTCCAGAGCTCCTCCAGCTTTGCCCTGAGCTGCAGGCGGGTGTACTGCTTCTTCTGCAGGCTCTGGGCACAGGCACAGCGCGTGTGAGCCACCACTCCCCAAACCTTGCCCTCGAACGCTCCTGGCCGGTTCCTGCCTCTGCCCCTGCCTCATTTTTGATGTCGTCCCGGGAGCTCTGGAATCTCAGCGTGATGTCCAAGTCGTTCTTGGCCTGATTCTGCTCCGTGCCCAGCGCCACGTCCTGCAGGTAGCAGCGTTCCCGCTCGTGCTGCTCCACGATGGTTCTCCTGTGGGAAGCACAGGGGAGCTGCTGGGAGAGGGTGGCCCCAGCGGGGTGCTCAGCACCAGCATGGGACAGGCAGCAGGTGCCACTGCCGCCCCCCTTGCCTCTGCCGCACCTCTCCTCCTCAAAGGCAGCCTGCACGGCCTGGAGCTGGGCCCGGTACCCGTCCTCCAGGCACGCCAGGCGGCAGCGCTGCAGCTGCAGGAGCCGGTCCACGTTGAGCAAGTGGCTGCGCAGGGCTCGGCCGTGCTGCTCCTCCGCCTCCTCCAGGTCTGCGGCCAGGGCCTGCAGGGTCGGGGCTGTCACAGGCCGCGGAGGGGGGGGGGGGTCCCGGTGCTGCCGCGGCCCCGCCGGCCCCGCGCTCACCTCGATGACGCCGTCCTTGCAGTCCATGACCCGCGCGAAGGCCCGGCTCAGGGCGTGCACGTCCCGGTGCAGCTCCGCGGCCTTGGCCTCCCGCAGCACCGCCCTCCATTGAGCATGGAGCTTGTGCAGGCTCAGGGCGCTGCTCTGCTCCTCCTGGGCCAGCTTGTGCTGAGCGGGGCACGGCCGTGAGCGGGGACAATGGGGGGGGCACCCGGCTACCCCATCCCATAGCCCCCCGGCTACCTTCAGGAACCGTGTGAGCAACTCCCCCTTCCTCTTGGCCGCCTCCTCCTCGGCCAGCGCTTGGCTCTGCAGCAGCAGGAGCTTGTCCTCCGCCGACAGGGCGGCTGCTGCCCGGGACCGGCGCTTCCCGGCCATGGCGGCTGTGCCCGGGCACAGGAGGTGAGGCTGGAGGTCCCGGCCCCCCCCATCTCCCCCCCGTTGGGGTCCCCCCTAACGCCCCCCACACTTTGGGGTCCCTCCAGGCCCCCCCTTCGCCGTCTCCCCCGCCCCGATGCCGGTACCGAGCGCGCCCCACAGCACCCACCGGCGTCCCACCGGTCTCCTAGCAACCGCCACTTCCGGTTTGGGCGGGAGTAGAGCCCCGCTTCCGCGGTCAGCCAGACGGGGCGCCCCCTGGCTTGGAGGAGCGTCTTCAGGTTGGACCCCCGCCTCTCCGCCATTGGCCTGCGAGCCGGCAGTCGCCGCGGTGATTGGCTACAGGGCGCCGCCGTGGGCGGGGCTCGGCGACCGCGGATTATATAAGGACGCTGCGGCGGCGGGGCGCAGGGCCGGCGGGTGGGTGCAGTGTGGGGGCCTCCGCGCCGCAGCCATGCGGGAGCGGAGGCCGGTACCGGCGGCCCCGGCCCGCTGCAAGCTGGTGCTGGTGGGCGATGTGCAGTGCGGTAAAACGGCCATGCTGCAGGTGCTCGCCAAGGACTGCTACCCCGAGGTGAGCCGGGACCGGCACCCAGCACCGGGGACCGGCACCGGGGCCGGCCGCTGACGCTCTCGGTGCCGTTACAGACGTATGTGCCCACCGTGTTTGAGAACTACACAGCGTGTCTGGCCAGCGAGGAACAACGGGTGGAGCTGAGCCTCTGGGACACCTCCGGTACCGGGGTCAATGCACTGGGATGGGTTCTCTCCGTTACCGGGGGGCGCATGAACGGGGCTTCCCTCCGGTACCGGGGCGGGGGCAGCGCTGGCCCCGGTGGGGCTTGATGTGGGAGGGGGGTTATCGGGGGAGGGTGGTTTGGGGTCTATGGGGATGGGGGGGCTGCAGCAGAGGGAGCCCTGCATTGGGGGGGGCTGGCATAGGGCCCCCGGGGTGCCATAGGGTAACCCCCTTCCTAACGGGGTTCCCCAATCCCTGTGACCTCTCCCCGTTGGATATTGGGGCGCTGCGTCCCTGCGGGGCTGCTTGTGAATGGGGGGTAACGGGGACCCCCGGATCTGCCTCTCCCCGCGGCGCTGGGGGGGCCGGGACAGCCCTGCCCGGGTGCTGCAGTGTCCCCCCCCGCCCGAGGGGGGGTCCCTGCCACCCGCGGTCCCCGCGTTGCCATGGCGATGCGCTGGCGCAGCCTCTTTGCTATTCCACGCACGGAGCGTCTGGGCTGCGAAACCCCCTCCGAGACCCTTCGGGGTCTGGGGGTGGCGATGGAGGCCCCCCCCGGGCACCCCAATACCCACAGGGGCTCCCCACTGCCCCCGCATCCCCCCCCGTGCCGCCTCTCCCTGCGGTCCCCGCGGTGGTGCCAACGGCTCCGGCTCCCTGGGGACCCCATGGGGGTGGCAGCAGCCCCCCCATGTCCTGCTGCCCCCCAAGACCCGGTGCTGCTGCTGGGGCTCCCCAGCGCGGGGGGGGGCGGTTGTTACATAAACACCACGGGATCCATTTCCCATCACTGATGGGCTGCGGGGAGCGGAGGTGGTGGTTTGGAGGGGGTTAGAGCTGCGTGTGCCCCCCCCAGCCCTGGCAAAGGGGGGGCTGTGACCCTTTGCCATCGCCTCCAGGGTCCTTTATGGGGGTGCTGTGCGGTGACCCCCCCCCTTTTCAACCCAGGTTCTCCCTACTATGACAATGTACGTCCCCTCTGCTATAGCGACTCGGATGCTGTCTTGCTCTGCTTTGACATCAGCCGCCCCGAGACCCTGGACAGCGCGGCCAAGAAGGTGTGGGGGGCATGGGGTGAGTGGGGGGGGGCTGTTTTGGGGTCCCCTCACACTGACACCAGCCCTGTGTCCCCCTCATTCTGCAGTGGAAAACAGAGATCCTGGACTATTGCCCCAACACGCGGGTGCTGCTCATCGGCTGCAAGACAGACCTAAGGACAGACCTGAGCACCCTCATGGAGCTCTCCCACCAGAAGCAGGCACCCATCTCCTATGAGCAGGTTGGGGGGTGACGTGTGTGTGGGGGGGTGTTGGGGTGCTCTGGGGGGGGGTTTGGCCTCACCAGGGGCTGTTGCAGGGCTGTGCGGCCGCCAAGCAGCTCGGAGCAGAGGGTTACCTGGAGTGCTCGGCCTTCACCTCGGAGAAGAGCGTCCACAGCATCTTCCGGACCGTGTCCGGCATCTGCCTCAGCAAAACCCCCCCGCAGCCCCCCCGGAGCCCCCCCCGCAGCCTCTCCAAGAGACTCCTGCACCTCCCCAGCCGCTCCGAGCTCATCTCCTCCACCTTCAAGAAGGAGAAGGCAAAAAGCTGCTCCGTCATGTGAAGGGGGGGGCGCCTGTCAATGACCCCCTCACCACCCTCCACTCCCCCCAGTGTCCTCCTGCCCTGAGCCCCCAGGATGGGGTGGGGGGGCTGGCCCTGGAGCCCCCCCGTGATGCCAATGGGGTGCCTGTCCCCTTCCCATCACCCTGCTTCCAGCCCCCATGGAGCTGCCATGGGTGGGTGGGGGGCTCTAGGGAGGGTGATTGGCAGCCCCCCAACCCCAGGGGGGGTTCATTCATGGACTCATCCCCTTTTGCCCCTCCCCACCCCATCCCTCATCTGCTGCTTGCCCCTGGTGGGGTGGGGGGCGCTGGGGGGGGCTGTTTTATGGACTGTCGTTGGGGGGGTGGGGGTCTCTATTCCATGGTCAGTGTTATTAAAAGCTTATTTATTATCGGAAATATAACGCCCACCGATGTGCAGCGGAGTGGAGTCCTCTTTTGGGGGGGGTGTCGGGGTTTAACGGGGGGGGCTCAAAAGGGGTCTTTCCAGCTTGGGAATGGGGTGCGCAGGACGCCGTGGGGTGCGCAGGACAGGGGGGGCGTCACGGTAGGGCCGGGGGTCACCGCGCTGCCGGCGGAGGGACCCGCGTGTCGCGGCGGTGCTGCGGCCACGGCGGGCGCGGGGGCTGCTGGGAGCTGTAGTCCCTGCGCGGAGGCGGCCTCGCCTTCCCAGCGTGCTCCGCGGCGGCTATGGCGGCAACGGGACGCTGAGGCCAGGAGCGGCGGCGGTGAGCGGGGGCGGGAGGGTCCGCGGGGGCAGCTGGAGCCCCGGAGCGGGTCCCCGGGGCTGGGCCCTGCTCCCTCCCGGGGCCGGTTCCCTGACGCTGTCCCCGCAGATGGCCGGGGAGCTGGCGGACAAGAAGGAGCGGGACGCGTCCCCCGCAGCCAAGGAGGAGCGGAAGCGCTCCCGCTCCCCGGACCGCGACCGGGACCGCGACAGGGACCGCAAAGGTTCCCCCCCCAAGGACAGGAAGCGGCACCGGTCCCGGGACAGGCGGCGGGGGAGCCGCTCGCGCTCCCGGTCCCGGTCCAAGTCAGCGGAGAGGTGAGGGGGGGGCTCCCCACCAAGGGCGGGTGCGGGGGGGTGGGGGCCGGGGTTGGGCCATAAGGACCCCGCTCTATAGGGATCGGCGGCACAAGGAGCGCGACCGGGACCGGGGCAAGAAGGAGCGGGAGCGGGACAAGGATGGGCACCGGCGGGACAAGGACAGGAAGCGCTCGAGGTGAGCCCCGGGGGGCTTCCGGAGGGCTTGGGGGTGCCCCGGCTCCCCCAGGAGCGGCTCCGCGGGGCCCCGGCGCTGTGCTCGGGTCCTGATGCCCGGTTCTCGGCTGGAAGCTTGTCCCCGGGCAGGGGGAAGGATTCCAAGGCCCGGAAGGAGCGGGATGCGCGCAGAGCGGAGGAGGAGGAGGAGAACGCCCTGAAGAAGGAGAAGGTGAGGAGGGACTCGGCTGGGAATGGCTTTGGGAATGTGGGAATCCTGCTGGCGAGGCAGAGTCCCCACTGGGGCTGCTGATGGGCTCGTCCCACGTCCACAGGCGCAGCCGCTGTCCTTGGAGGAGCTGCTGGCCAAGAAGAAGGCTGAAGAGGAGGCAGAATCCAAGGTGGGAGCTGGAGCTGAGGCCTTCTCCTTGGGATGGGATGGATGGGATTGGAGGGGGGGCACATCCAGACCTGCTGTGACCCTGCCCTTCTGTCCCAGCCCAAGTTCCTGTCCAAGGCGGAGCGGGAGGCCGAGGCGCTGCGGCGGCGGCAGCAGGAGGTGGAGGAGCGGCAGCGCCTGCTGGAGGAGGAGAGGAAGAAGAGGAAGCAGTTCCAGGAGATGGGGAGGAAGATGCTGGGTAAGGGGGTGCCCACCCCTGGAGCCCCCCCCCCCCGGCCCTAAGGGGGGTTGTGCTGGGCTCTGAGCCCTTCCCATGCTCCCCAGAAGACCCCCAGGAGCGGGAGCGTCGGGAGCGCCGAGAGCGCATGGAGCGGGACACGAACGGCACCGAGGATGAGGAGGGCAGGCAGAAGATCCGGGAGGAAAAGGACAAGAGCAAGGAGCTCCACGCCATCAAGGTGGGTCTGGGGTGACCCTGGGGGGGCCGGGAAGGGGGTGGAACCCCCCCCACTGAGCCTCTGCTCCCCAGGAGCGGTACCTGGGGGGGGTGAAGAAGCGGAGGCGGACGCGGCACCTCAATGACCGCAAGTTCGTGTTCGAGTGGGACGCATCGGAGGACACCTCCATTGACTACAACCCGCTGTGAGTGGGGGGATTCTGGGGCTGTGGGGGGTTCCCTGGGGGTGTGGGGCAGCTCCTGATGCTCCCACCCCTTGCTCCAGGTACAAGGAGAGGCACCAAGTGCAGCTGCTGGGCCGGGGCTTCATTGCGGGCATCGACCTGAAGCAGCAGAAACGGGAACAGTCGCGTTTCTACGGGGACCTCATGGAGAAGAGGCGGACGCTGGAGGAGAAGGAGCAGGAGGAGTGAGCTGGGGGGTGTCCACAGGGGCTCTGCTGGGCCTGGGTGCAGCTTGGATGGGGGCAGGATGGTTCCAGCCTTCCCACAGGGTGAGCTCCATCCCCTTCCTCATCCACACCCAGGGCTCGGCTGCGGAAACTGCGGAAGAAGGAGGCGAAGCAGCGCTGGGACGACCGGCACTGGTCCCAGAAGAAGCTGGATGAGATGACGGACAGGGACTGGCGCATCTTCCGCGAGGATTACAGCATCACCACCAAGGGGGGCAAGATCCCCAACCCCATCCGCTCCTGGAAGGACTCGTCCCTCCCACCCCATATCCTGGAGGTCATTGACAAGTGTGGTTACAAGGTGGGCAATGGGGGCTGCTTTGGGGGGGGGTCAGGGCTGGGAGGGGGAGTTCTGCTCTCATCCTGCCGCTCCCCTCGCCAGGAGCCCACCCCCATCCAGCGCCAGGCCATCCCCATCGGCCTCCAGAACCGGGACATCATCGGCGTGGCTGAGACCGGGAGTGGCAAAACAGCGGCTTTCCTCATCCCACTGCTCGTGTGGATCACCACCCTGCCCAAGATTGACCGGTACCGGGGGCTGGGAGCACTGCACGGGGGGGAGCCTGGGACACCACATAGGGCAGGGGGACACTGCACAGGGGGGGACACGTGGCACCGGGGGTGACGTGGCCATGCCCTGCCCGTGCCGCAGCATTGAGGAGTCGGACCAGGGTCCCTACGCCATCATCCTGGCCCCCACCCGCGAGCTGGCCCAGCAGATTGAGGAGGAAACCATCAAATTTGGGAAGCCTCTGGGCATCCGCACGGTGGCCGTGATCGGGGGCATCTCCCGCGAGGACCAAGGCTTCCGCCTCCGCATGGGTTGTGAGGTGAGTGCCCCGCATGGAGGGGCCCTGGGGGCCATGGTTCACCCCCAGCCTGTGGCCACCAACCCCCCTGACCCCCCCAGATCGTCATCGCCACCCCAGGCCGTCTCATTGACGTGCTGGAGAACCGGTACCTGGTGCTGAGCCGCTGCACGTACGTGGTGCTGGACGAGGCGGATCGCATGATCGACATGGGCTTCGAGCCGGACGTGCAGAAGATCCTGGAGCACATGCCTGTCACCAACCAGAAACCAGACACGGATGAGGCCGAGGACCCCGAGAAGATGTTGGCCAACTTCGAGTCAGGGAAGCACAAGTACAGGCAGGTGGGTGCTGGTGGGTGCTGCTGTGGGGAGCAGAGGGCTACAGGGAGCAGCAGCCCTGCTCCTGCCCCTCTGGGCCCATCGCTCCCTGCCCTGTGCTCCCGTAGACCGTCATGTTCACGGCCACCATGCCACCAGCCGTGGAGCGCCTGGCCCGCAGCTACCTGCGCCGCCCCGCCGTGGTCTACATCGGCTCCGCTGGCAAACCCCACGAGCGGGTGGAGCAGAAGGTGTTCCTCATGTCCGAGTCGGAGAAGAGGTGAGGACGGGGCTGCTGGAGCAGGAGGAGGGGTCTCGGGGGTGCTCAGGGGTGTTTGGGGGTGAGGGAGCTCTGGGACAGGCTCCACAGCCCCACTCTGCTCCTCCACAACAGGAAGAAGCTCTTGGCCATCCTGGAGCAGGGCTTCGACCCCCCCATCATCATCTTTGTCAACCAGAAGAAGGGCTGCGATGTGCTGGCCAAGTCCCTGGAGAAGATGGGGGTGAGTCTGGGCCGGACCCTCCCCGCTCTGTGTCCCCCCTGCCCATGGGTGGGGGGCTCCAGGCCCTGCCTGACCCCTCCTTTCCCCCCCTGCAGTACAACGCCTGCACCCTGCACGGAGGCAAGGGCCAGGAGCAGCGGGAGTTCGCCCTCTCCAACCTGAAGGCCGGGGCCAAGGACATCCTGGTGGCCACCGACGTGGCCGGACGCGGCATCGACATCCACGACGTCTCCATGGTGGTCAACTATGACATGGCCAAGAACATCGAGGGTGAGTTGGGGGGGGGGCAGTGGGGGGCAGTGGCGGGGGGGGGGCTATGGGGGGCCTGATCCTCCTCATCCCCCCCTTGCAGATTACATCCACCGCATCGGGCGCACGGGCCGCGCGGGGAAGAGCGGCGTCGCCATCACCTTCCTCACCAAGGAGGACTCGAGCGTGTTCTACGACCTGAAGCAGGCCATCCTGGAGAGCCCCGTGTCCTCCTGCCCGCCGGAGCTGGCAAACCACCCCGACGCCCAGCACAAGCCCGGCACCATCCTCACCAAGAAGCGGCGCGAGGAAACCATCTTCGCCTGAGCCAGGGTCCCCCCATGGGGACAACGCAGCCCCCCCCCCCCCCCATGGCAGCAGCACCAGGGGCTGCCGGGACCTTTTGGCTGCTTTTGGTGCATCCAGGACTGCCGACAGCAGAGACTTGGCCCAGGGCCCCCCTCGTTGTCCCAGCCCCGCTTCCCCCCCTCCCCATGGCCGGTGGGGCTCCGGGGGCCGGTTCCTCCTGCCGGGACCGGGCTGGTGCCCATCGGGGCTATTCCAGGCCCTTTCTTCTCTCCATCCTCGTGGTTTTTAGCTGCAATTCCAGGCTGCAGGAATAAACCCGGTCCCGCACGGCGCCTCCTCGTGCTCTCCCTGGCCCCGTGTCCCCCCCATCCCCTGTTTGTCCCCCCCCACACGGACACGGCCCTCGGAGCACTCTCGTGTTTCTGAAACTGGTTACAGGGAAATCAGTGCTTTCTACAAAAGAAATTATAACAAATCTGTGCCCCCCCATCCCCTCCCTGCGAAGGGCCCCGGGGGGGGGGGGTCTCATCGAGCAGCCCCCGGGGGGGGGGATGCTGTATTTACAGGACTCTGTGCGGTGACGTGCGGTGGCAGCTACAGGGACAGCAGGGATGGGGCAGTGAGTGCAGGCAGGGGGTGCCCCCCCCCGGCCGTGGGCAGGGTCTGGCTGCCCCCTCCCATCCACATCCCCAGTGGGGGGGGGGTTTGCAGTGGCCGGGATAGGGGGAACTTGGTGCAGAGCAAAGCGATTGGTGCAGCCCCGTCATGCCGGGGGTCCCATGCGGGGGGGGGTGGGACAGGCTGGGCCTGGGGAGGGACAAGGGGGGGGCACCTTCCCCTTCATTTGGGTCTGTGCTGCTCACCCTGCCCCCCCCCATGACCTGGCCCCTGTTTCCATGGCAGCGGATGGGGACGGGAAACTGAGGCAGGGAGAAGCTGCGTGGCTGAGCCCCGGTCCCTGGGGAAGGGGCAGGGGGGTCCCCTGGCCCCCCCCGCCCCCTGTGCTTATGGCTGAAGACGCCCCCCTAGGAGGCCCCCGAGAGGGGGGAGATTGTCTGAGCACCCCCAGTGCGGGGCTGGGGGGGGGGCGGCCGCTGCCCAGCCGGGCCCCCCCCCTTCCTTCCCTGCCCTCCCCTAGTAGCTGTCCTTGGCCCAGGGCCGGCTCCGCTGCCAGTTCCTGTCGTGGTTGCGCTCGCTCTGGCGCTCGGGGGTGCCGGCGCCCTGCATCCCGCTGTTGTGGTGCCGGTGGGGCTGGTACAGGTCGGGGTAGGGGTCCCCGAACCCCTCCTCCTCCTCCTCCTCCTCCTCCTGCAGGTGCCGGGAGCTGCGCTGGGACGCGGCCCCCCACGGCCGGGGCGAGTTCTCCCCGGCATCGTCCGACGGCATCAGGCTCTCGTGCTCCAGCGGCGAGTGCTCCCCGCGCTCCCCCAGCAGCTGCTGGCTCTGCGGGTACGGACGGGGCTGGGTGCATGGCCCCGACCCCATGGCGTGCATTGGGGTGCATTGGGGTGCGCCGTGGTACCTGCAGCCCCGGCAGCCCCGGGGGCGATGGAGCGGCGTGCGCGGCGTGCAGAGGGTGATGTGTGGCGCGCCAATAGACCTCCAGGTACTCGGCCAAGTGCTCGCAGGCGTCCTCCAGCTGGTTCTCGTCCAGGATCACATCAAACAGCTCCTGTGGGGGCACATAAAGGGGTCAGGGGGGGTCCGGACCCCACTTTGGGCTGTCCCAGGGGGGGTCCCCGTGGCTCACCGGGGGACACTGCACCAGTTTGTCGGCTGCCATCATCTGCACGTTGAGGTGCTTCACTTGGGACTTGCCGCGGGACTTGATGAGGCGCTGCAGGACCTGAGGGGGGCACAGGAGGGTGGTGGTGGCATAGGGGACAACTGGGACCCCCCCCAGACCCGCGGGTCCCCCCCACCTTGGGTGAGGACACCTTGACATAGACGATGATGGGCGCCAGGGAGGTCTTGGCCAGCTGGGCCGGGTGGTTGATGGTGTCGGCATCCAGCACCACAAGCTGCAGGGACTTGGCCAGCTCAAAGATGCGCTCGATCTCGCTCTGCACCTCGGCTATGGGAGGGACATGGGGGGGGGGGGCATGAGGCTGGGCTGGTTCCTTTGCGGGTCCCTGCAGCCCGGGGGTGCTCACCGATGCTGGAGCGGGTGGTGGAGCGCTCCAGGATCGCCTGCTTGCCCAGGTTGTTGAGGATGGAGCGCTTGGCCAGGGACAGGTCAGCCGTGATGTGGGTGATGGAGATCCTGGGGGAGGGGGGCAGAGGGGTGGCAATGGGGGCCGGGGTGTCCCCCTATGGCCATGGCATTGGAGCGGGGGCAGGGGCAGGGCCTCACCTCCCATCGAATCTGTGCTTGAGGAAGTCGAACAGAGCTTTCTGCATCATGTCCGTGACCTGCGCAGGCACCGGGAGCCGCAGATGGCACCGGCAGCGGGGCCCGGCCCCCCGTGGGCACCCCTGGGCCCCACCATCTGCCATGGGGTGGGCAGGGAGGGGACAAGGGGCTCAGGCCAACCCCCCCCCCCCCCCAGTACCTCGTATCCTTTCAGCGAGGGCCCCACCAGCACCACGGGCCGCATGGAGGGGACCACGTCGTAGGGTGGGATGTGCTGTGTCTGGAGGGGGGACACATCAGTGCTCTGCACCCCATAACTGGGGGTAGAGGGGGGTCTCTGCCCCATCTCCCCTCACCCCCGGGACTCACCTGCTTCTGCTTCTGCTTGGCTTGGGGAGAGAAGAGGCAGGGATTGGTGACAGCAAAGGGAGGACCCCCTGGGACCGCCCCCCCCGGGCCAGACCCGGCTCTTACCTAAGGAGGGGGGAGGCGATCGCCGGCTCCCGCTGTCGCCGAGGCCTGAGGCGTTGCCAGCTCTCCTGGGGGGGGGCAATGGGGGTCAGCGAGGTTGGGGGGGGCCCGGTTGGGGGGGGGGGGGGCGGTCCTTACCTGGCTTTCTGCTCCTGCTTGAGCCTCATGGCTTCCAGGCGCTGGGGGCTGGGGATGAAGGCGATGTCCCCCCCCTCCTTCACTAGGCGTCCAATCCACCAATCATTGCTGTATTTCTGGGGGGGCAGGAGCAGAGCACGGTGAGGCCTGAGAGGGGTGGGGGGTCCTTGGCCCTGATTCCCCCCCCACGGACCCCCTTTCACCTCCTTGATGTGCAGGAAATCTTTGGCTTCGAAGTTGATGGCGGCTCCTTGCACCGGGCACTCCTCGTCCAGCGCCCCGCAGTAGCTGACATTGGTGCGCACAGCGAAGGCGACCGGCTTGTGCTGGGGGGGGGGGGATAAAAGGGGCGGTTCAGCACCCCCAGACCCCGCCGAACCCCGCAATGTGCCCCCCCCCCCCCGTACCTTGGCCCTCTCGAGCTGCTGCTGGGCCTGGTTCTCCACCTCGCGCCGGGCGCCCTCCCGGTCCTCGTCCAGGGACACGTCGGAGTCCAGGGACGGGCGGCTGGTGTAGGAGTCCGCCGAGCCCTACGGGGCCGCGGCTCAGTGCGGGCCCCGGCACAAGGGACCCAGGGAGCCCCGTCCCGAAGCGCGTCCCAGCGAGCCCGGGGGGAGCCATGGGGGGACCCCGCTTGTGTCCGTCCCCCCCCCCCGCGGGTAATCGCCGGGCCCTGCTGTTGAGCTGCATTGAGATATTTATAGGCCCCTGGATGTGGCCGAGCGCCCCCCCCCTCGATCGCACCGGGGGTGCCCCCCCCACCGCAGGCAATATGGTTTCCCAGCAGGCTCCCCCCAACATGGCCTCCCCAGCACGCCCCCCCCCACCCCAGCATCGTCACCGCTCCCCGGAGCATCCTTCACTTCCCCACCGGTAACAGCATCTCCGCCCCCCCCCGCAGCCCCCGGCCCCGCCGCCCATGGGGGGGTCTGGATCACACCCCCCCCCCCCCATCACCCGGTTCCGGTCCAGGCGGCACCTGCCGGGGGTTGGGGGGGAGAGACCGGTTCCTTCCTGCGGTGAGGAACAAAGAGGGCGGCCGGACCCCCCCACCGGGCCCGGGCCCCATCCACGGGCACAGCCCCCAGTGCGCAATCACGGCTCCCCCCCCCCCCACCGGGCACGGCCGCACCCCCCGCCCCAGTTGTGCCGGTACCGGGGCCGGTACCTCGTTAAGCAGGAAGGTAGCGCTGGAGTCAGAAAACGACATAGACGGGGCGAGCCGAGCCGAGCCGCCCGCGCCCCCCCGCCCGCCTCCGGTACCGGCACCGGCTCCGGCTCCGGTTCCGGCTGCGGCTCGGGCTCCGCTGGCCCTGCCCGCTCCGCGCCGCCGCCGCTGCCGCCCCTCCCCGCCCCTCCCCGCCTCCGCCTCCCGCCGCCCCCCAGGGGCGCACGGAGCCGCCCCCGCCGGCTCAGCACGGGGCGAGGGGGGGGTGCCGGGGGTCGCGGCTCCCCCTTCCCGGTGGGACCCCGGTGCAGCGGGAAGGGCCCCGGGGGGGGCTGGGGAGGGGTTGCAAAGGGGGCAGCTCCCGGGCGGGGGGCGCTGCGCGGTCCCCGCAGGCCCCGGCCGGGGGTCCCGGGGCGGCGGCGGGGGGGTCCCCCCGGTACCTCCATGCTCCAGTGCGGCGGCCCCGTCCCGTCCTGCCCCGAGCCGGCGGCAGCCCCATCTGCAGGGCGAGCCCTGCGGCGGGGCCGGAGCCGCTCCCGCCCCCCCGCCGCGCCCCCCCCTCCCGCCCCCGAGGAGGGGGGCAGCGGCGGGCCCCAGGGGACCGGCGCGACCGCCCCGAACCGCGCAGCGGGACGGGCACCGGAGGGACCGGCCCGGGATGAGCGGGTCAGGCCCGGCGGGGCGGGGGCTGCGGGACCAGGCGAGGGCACCGGGAACCGGCCCCGGTACCGGGCAGCGCGGCGGGGCCGGGCCGGGCCCTCTCCGAGGTGCTGAAGGGGCCGTGACGGGCGCGGGGCCGGGGGTCACCGGGGGGACCAGGACGGGAGCGGCGCTGCAGGTGCTACCCCGGGAGGGAAAAGGGGGATCGGGCCCCTCTGCACCCCCCGGGGCCGCCCCTGCCGGAACCCACCGGGGCCTCCCCGGTACCCGCGGCCCCGCCGCTACTGGGGGGCTGCTGGGGCCGGGGTGAGCCGCGGGTGAGGGAAGGCGGGGGGGGCTCCGTGCCCTCCCCGGTGTCCCCGGTGCCGATGAACGGACGAGGCCGGGCGGCCACAGGGACCCCCCCGTTCCCCGTTCCCCCTCCGCTGCCTCAGTTTACCCGCGCCGCCCCCCTCTCTGCAGCGCCGGTGCCCGCGCCCGGCCCGGCCCTGACGCAGCACTCGCTATTTATAGCCGCGGGGAGCGGCTGCTGCGATGCCACCGGCGCCCGGTGCCGGCGCCCAGCCCCGGTTCCCCCCGGTGCGGCGGCTGGGGCGGGGGAGCTCGGCCGCTCCTCTCCGGCCCGAGCCTTAATGCGGAGCCGCAGCGCCGCTGCTCCCGAGAGCGGGAGGTGCCGGTGCCGGTGCCGGTGCGGGCCGCTCACCTGCCTGCGGAGGATGCTGGAGGTGGTGTCGGACGAGGTGCTCCCATCCGAGCGCTTGAACCGGCTCTTGCGCTTCGGGAGCCTCCGGGGGCTCTGAAGGGGGGAAAGCGGCAGGAGCCGCCGGTCAGGACCGAAGCGGCTCGGCCCCGGAGATGCGCTGCGGGGTAGAACCGAACCGGGCCGCACCGGGCCCGCGGGGGGCGGAAGGGCCCCGGTGCGTTCACCTGGAAGGAGCCGGGAGCCGCGGGCTGCGCCGGAGCGGACATCCCGGGCGGCACCCACCGGAACCCCCGGGATCCCGGCGGGGCCGCACCCGCACCCGACCGCGGTTCTCCACCGGGAAGGGCCGCGCCGCCGCCGCCGCTCTCCGCATCACACGGGGCCGCCGGGGGCGTCCCGGCCGTCCCCGCCCCCGCCTGCCCGCCCCCGCGCCCATCACTGTGGCGTCCGGCCCCGCGGCCCCCGCAGCCACCGGCGCCGTGTGCGTGTGTGTGGGAACCGGGGGGTGCTCACCGGGGATAGACCCAGCCCGCACCCCGCCGTGTGCGGGGGAACCGGCACCGGCAAGGAGCAGCCCCAGGGGCCGCCACTGCCGTGACCGCGCGTGGTCGGGGGTGCGTGAGCCCCGAGTCCCGCTCCAAACCGGGATGAGGCCCGCGGCTGCCGTGGGTGATCCCTGCCCCGCGTGGGGCAGCGCGGGGGTAAAGGGCGGATGCACTCGCCCCGCGCCTCGCGTCCCCGCCGTGCCCCGCACCGGGAGCACCGGTACCGGCCCCCCCGTACTCTCCCTGCCCCCCCCCGCGGCGGGACTTCCGCGTACGGGGCCGCGGGGACTCGGGCCCGGCGGCGGCTGCTAATTAATGATTAATGATTAATCTGTGCTCCCCGGGGGCCGCCGCCGCCGCGGAGGGGGAGGGGAGAGCGGCCGGGGGGGGGGCGGGTGGCCGGGAATAGGGGCGAGGAAGCGTCGGACCCACGGATACTGGGGGGCTGCGAGGACCCCGATGTGGGGGTGCCCTGAGCACAGGGCGATGATGGGGGGGGTGCGTGTGCACGGGGCGGGGTGCGAGAACGTCCGCGGGAGCGCGCGGGGGTTCGTGCACGCGGGTGCGCGTGCAAGGGTGCGTGCGCGTGCACGCCAAGGGTGCCCTGGGTGGGGGGGATTGCGCGGGTGCTTGTGCAAGGAGATCAATGGGCGAGGGGACCCGGGTGCAACACAAACCCGCGTGCAACGGGGCCGCCCGCGTGTGCGGGAGCGCGCACTCGCGCAAGGGGGGGTGATATCTGCGTGTGCAAGGGGCACACGCAAAGGGCTGGGTGCGTGTGCACGGGGAAGGTGGGGGGGGCGATGCGTGTGCGCGCTCCCGGCGGGGGGTGCCCGGCTGCGCGTGCCCCCGTTGTCCCCGCCATGTCGGTGTCTCTGTGTGTGTGTGCGCGCGGCCCCGGGGGTGCCGGTCCGCCCGCGCGCGCGCCCGCCGCCCCCGTGCGCCCGCCCTCGCCTCCCCCGCCGCACCGGGGCCGCACCGGGGCCGCCACCGCCACCGCCGCTGCGCCTTTAAGGCCGCCGGCCGGGAGCGCCCGGGAGCGGATCCGGGCGCGGGGGGGCGGGCACCGGCCGGGGCAGGGCCGGGGCCGGAGCTCGGTGCTGCGACCGGGACCGGGGCCGCTACCGAAGGGGGCTCGGCCTGGGCGCGGGATGGCGCGGAGGGGCTGCGGCGCTGCCGCCGTGTAGGAGCGGGCGGCGGCGGGGCCGTTCCCAGGCGCGGGGCCCCGCGGGCGGCGGTGGCGGCGTCGGCGGAGGTGAGCGGGGCCGGGCGGGAGCGCCGGGGGCGGCGGCGGCGGCGGGGACCGGGATCGCGGCGGCGGCGGCGGCGGCGAGGAGGGGGGGGGCGGCGGCATCGGGCTGGGCCCCGGGACGGCGGGAGCGGAGCGGCCCCTGGGGCTCAGTGCGGAGACCGGGAGGGAGCTGGAGGGGCCGCGGGGACCGGGCCGGGCTCGGAGGCGGGGGGAGGCGGCCGCCGCCGGTGCCGGCCCTTCCCGGTGTCCGTTCGCCCGCGGCGGGGAGCGTGCGCCACGTCCTGGCCGGTTCCCGGTGCCCCGGGGCCGCGGTGCCCGGTGCTGCTCCTTGGCCTCCGTTCAAGACAAACAGGGCCGGGACGCCGGGGACGGTTCCAGCTTTGCCGCAGGTCACAGCGCCCGGGCGGCCTCCGCAGGGCCGGGCTCCGGGCACCGGGCACCGGGGACAGGCGTTCCCGCCGGGGCCGTGGGGCCGGGGTTGGGGTCAGCATTCTCCGGCTGTGGGTGCGATGTCAGGGTGCGGGAATCGCTGCTTCCGCGGGCACCGAGGTCCCTTTCGGGTGTCGGGTGCGGGTGGGGGGGTGGTGCGCGGAGCGCTGCTGACCGCCCCCCGGCCCCCGCAGCATGTCGTGGTTCAGCGGCATCCTGGTGCCCAAAGTGGACGAGCGGAAGACGGCATGGGGGGAGCGCAACGGCAAGAAGGGCGCCCGGCCCCGCGCTGGCCTCTGCGGGCCCCGCTACATGAGCTGCCTGCAGGACCCTGAGATGGAGCCCCCGGGGCCCCCCCGAGGGCTGCGCTGCACTTGGCAGGAGGACCACTACGGCAAGAAAGGGCCCTCGGGGGACCCGGTGCTCAAACCGGTTGATCTGGGCTTGGAGGATGGAGAAGCCAAAGGGCCAAAGGGGGCCGGTGGCGGCCGCGGGGGGCGACTGTCGGCGGCCGAGTGCTGGCAGCGCCTGCTTCAGGTTTTCCGCTCCAAACACTTCCAATCGGCCAAACTGGAGCGGCTTTACCAGCGCTACTTCTTCCAGATGAACCAGAGCAGCCTGACGGTGCTGATGGGGGTGCTGGTGCTGGTGTGCGGGGTGATGCTGCTCTTCCACTGCCTGCCCGGCAGCCCGCACGTGCCGGCGGCCGCCGCGCTGGCCACTGCCACGGCCTTGTTCCTGCTCCTGATGGTGCTGTGCAGCCGCAGCGCCTTCCCCCAGGACTACATGTGGGTGGTGAGCTACATGGTGCTGGGGCTGCTGGCCGGGGTGCAGGTGCTGGGCACCGTGGCCGTGGCGCCCCAGAGCGCGGCCGAAGGCGTCTGGTGGAGTGTGTTCTTCATCTACATCACCTACACGCTGCTGCCGGTGCGGATGCGTGCGGCCGTGCTGGCCGGGGTCCTCCTGTCCTGCCTGCACCTCGCCATCGCCTGGCACCGCAACACCAACGACCCCTTCCTCTGGAAGCAGGTAGGGATGCAGGGTGGGATGGAGATCACCAGCACGGAGCGTCCAAACTGGGCTTGAGCTCTCTGCACATGGAACATTCTGGATGCAGGAGGGATGCCCGGGGCAGGGGGTCAGCGTCCCGTGGGCCGGGGGCCCCTCACTCTGCTGGCTCTGCACAGAGCCACCATTGTGGGCTTCACCAGCACCCACAAAGCCCCCGTTGTGGGGCCAGCGGAGTCCCCTGGGGGGATGCAGGGGTACAGGGGGGGTCCACTTGTCCCCAGAGCTGGGTGCTCCCCCCTCACTGTATGAGGCCACGATCACTCTTGCCCTGCCTGGCTGGGCCTGGCACCACGTGCTGTCCCCATGGGCATGGGGCAGGAATGCGGTGGTGGGAGCAGAGACCATAGGAGGGGAACCCCCCCTGTAAGCGGGGTTAACCCCACGCCGTGGCCCTGCTCCCAGCCCGCTGGAGCACTATAAATATCCTTGGCCCTGATCCCGGGGGACAGGGACCGGGATGGGGGAAACCACAGCGCTCCGGCTGCAGCCGTCTCCGCTTCCCGGCCCTGCCCCGGCTTCCTCTGCTTCCGAGGGCCCGGCTGCATCCGTACTCCCCTGTCCCGGGTCCCTGCACCCCCTTTCCTCCCTGTCCTGGTCTCCTACAGCCCCAGATCTCCCATGTTCACCCTGCCCTGCATCCCTGCATCCCTGCATCCCCCTGCTCCTTTGGACCAGCCCCCCTACATCAGAGTCAGACTTACGGGGTGCAGAGGAGGGTGGTAGAGCTGGGGGGGTCCCTGCTGAGCCTGTGCCCCCCCCCCAGCTCATCGCCAATGCCCTGATCTTCCTCTGCACCAACGTGGTCGGGGTCTGCACCCATTACCCGGCCGAGGTGTCGCAGCGCCAGGCCTTCCAGGAGACCCGCGGCTACATCCAGGCTCGGCTGCACCTCCAGCGCGAGAACCGGCAGCAGGTTGGTGGGGGGGGTCCCCCAATGGAGCTGGGGGGGTTGTTCCTCAGGGCCACCCCCCCCCCGGTAACGGGGTGCCACTGGGCTGCAGGAGCGGCTGCTGCTCTCGGTGCTGCCCCAGCATGTGGCCATGGAGATGAAGGAGGACATCAACACCAAGAAGGAGGACATGATGTTCCACAAGATCTACATCCAGAAGCACGACAACGTCAGGTAAGGGGGTCCTGGGGGGAGCTTGGGGGGGGTCATTGGGTGGGGGATGCTCCCCATGCCACACTCTTCCTCCTGCAGCATCCTCTTTGCGGACATCGAGGGCTTCACCAGCCTGGCCTCGCAGTGCACGGCGCAGGAGCTGGTCATGACGCTCAACGAGCTCTTCGCTCGCTTTGACAAGTTGGCAGCGGTGAGTTATGGGGCTGGGGGGGGGGGCTCAGGGGGCCCTGGACCCCCCCAGTGACCTCCCTGTGCAGGAGAACCATTGCCTGCGCATCAAGATCCTGGGCGACTGCTACTACTGCGTGTCGGGGCTGCCGGAGGCGCGCGGGGACCACGCTCACTGCTGCGTGGAGATGGGGGTGGACATGATCGAGGCCATCTCGTGAGTGGGACCTGGAGCCCCAGCCCCGGGCCCGGTGTCCCCGGGCCGGTGCTGAGCGGAGCCGGTGCCGCCCGCAGGCTGGTGCGCGAGGTGACGGGGGTGAACGTGAACATGCGCGTGGGCATCCACAGCGGGCGCGTGCACTGCGGCGTCCTGGGGCTGCGCAAGTGGCAGTTCGACGTCTGGTCCAATGATGTGACCCTGGCCAACCACATGGAGGCGGGGGGCAAGGCCGGGTGAGGCGGGATGGGGAACGGGATGGGATGGGATGGGCTGGGATGGGGAACGGGATGGGATGGGATAGGGAATGGGATGGGGAATGGGATGGGGAACGGGATGGGGAACGGGATGGGATGGGATAGGGAATGGGATGGGGAATGAGACAGGGAACGGGATGGGCTGGGATGCGGTATGGAATGGGCTGGGATGGGGAATGGGGTGGGGAACGGGATGGGGAAAGGGATGGGTCGGGATGGGGAATGGGATGGGCTGGGTTTGGGAAGTGGGATGTGCTGGGATGGGGAACGGGATGGGTCAGGATGGGGAACAGGATGGGCTGGGTTTAGGGTCAAGATGGG